ACTAAAAAAGAGAACGTTGGTTTGCAATATTTATTAGTTGAAATAGCGGTTGATAGAGAAGAGAACGCTGGTTTGCATTTTGCAATATTTGCAATGTTGCATTGGGATTCTGTGGAGAGTAGTAACAAAAAAGTCATAAGCAGAATCCATTTAAAAAAAAGAAACATTAATGAGGCAGTAACGGCTTGTCGGCTTTAACGTCCTGAAGACTTTGCGTCTTAGGTCTTACTTCTTTATTTTATCAAATACGGATTAAGGAATCATCAAATTTTGTTGTTGACCCACAAAAAATGAAGGATTTGTAATTCTAAAACCAAATATGCATGATGTTGTTCTATGTGAAAGTGTTGGAACTTCTTCTAAAACCCTTACTTTTTTCTATAGGAAATACAAATGTAATCGAAATTTTTGACTCATAAAACCGTGGAGGTAAGAACAAAGGCGAATACAAAATGACACCAACATACATTTGACTACACAGCTATTCACTTCTTTTGTTTTCGTCATTACACAGCTATTCACTACTTTCCTTAGATTACACTTTTTATGTAATGCTCGATAGTTACATTTCCTCACATGTTACAAGAAAAAATATTAAATAGGATATGAAACGCTTATACATATAGATTATTTTATTTTTGTATCGTTGTCACAAACAACGTAGTACCTTTTTCGTAGGTGCGTCACTACTTACTATCCAACGTAAGCTGTTGAATTTCAACGTCAAAATCGTCTTCAAATGGCTTTGTTAAAAAAAAATTGCTCTAAGGCTACTAAATTTTCATTACACCATCAATTTTCAATATTTTTAAACTTAAAGAATGTACTTTTAATTTATTTGACATCAGTTAGAGAAATTTAGTTAGTAAAGATGTTTGATATCAGAGGAATTGATTTAATGAAGGATATTCTATCATGGAAAATAGCGATTGTTGGGTTTATTTCAAAGAAATGCATGCATGCATTAGATAGTATTTCAAAGAAAAACAAAACCGGGTTTCAATTAACCTTTTGGCAGTATCAATAATTTCAACTACATTAATGCAGCTTCATAAATTTGTTTGACCGGATCATATAAAAGTAAATAAACTAAAATATACATACAACAGCTATGAATTGGCAAATTTTTAATTTTTTGATAATGAGCTAACGAATGCCATATTAATGGATTTTTAAAACAAAAATATTTTTGGCTGCAATGGATGAAAAACAAAGAAAGAAGAATTAAGCCACCGCCCAAAACAAAAGTCTAGCCGACTTTTACCTTAAGATTATACTTGGTCCCCGGCCCGTTGGCCCCTAATAAAAATATAATTATCAAGTCAAATATGCATAATATCTATTTACCAATAAAAACTTCTTAACTTTGTAATTGACATGAGTGAGTTATATTTTTTCTTTACAACAAAGCGGTTTTATGTTTCGTTGGAACATACTAGTACATAATCATTATTATGGTATTCACAAAAAAAAAAAAATGGTCAAAAGTCAAAACTAATTCGTACTCCATGTTTAATGGGCCAATACGAAGGCCTATTACCTTAGTAGGACCCACGTTTGATCAAAATTTTATTTTGTCTGCCACGTTAGCAAAGGACCCACCTTTGTCGCTTGACATATGCTCTCTGGACCGTGGCTTAAATAAATGTAAAAATGTAATATGAGTAGAGATGATTATTAGAGTTAATTATTCTTCAATAATGACACCCATTAACGTCCTAACTACATATACCATTATTTTAAATTAGTTATTGACGACATAAGAATTATGGACTTGTGGGCTGCTCGTGATGAGGTTGAACTAGTTACGAAAGATTAGTTAATTAATGAACTAAAAAATTTGGCAACTAAACGTAAAAACATATAAATGGAGACTCTTATTAATAGTACTAATTCGAAGCAACTTATATATAAAACCAGAGTCTTACATATCACAAATGTCCTTTTATAATTATTTTATATGTTTTATCGTTTAGTTGTGAATTACTTAATTTATCGTTTTGAAAAAGTTTGACTTTATTATGTATAAACACTGCTTCATTTGTTTCACAATATAAATAGTTTTGGATCAACTTTTCTATTTCACAGTATAAGTTGTTTTGGAGTTTCTGTGCAAATAAATAATTTCTGTGGAATTTCATAGTATAATTATTTTAATAATTTATAATTATTTATATTATGCAGTTTCTTTGATAATTGATTTAATTTTTTTAAAGTAGATATTTTTAATCGGTGTGTTTTTAACTAATACTATTTATATTTATAAAAAGAGGAAGTATCAATTATCATCAGATTCAATCAATGAAGCAAATTAATTTGGTGGTTCAGTTCGGTAAATGTTCTTAGAACAAACACACATTCTTTTAGTATTTTACTTTTGTCTTAAATGCAATTTTGATGAAAGTTAAATAATAATACTCCAAAAAATGCAACTTTCATGAAAATTAGTATTCTAGTAACAACAACATTGTAATAAATTTCCCCGAGTAAACTAGTATAATTTTATGCTATGTACATTACAAAAACACGATGACGACCACCTGATGAAAGAAACGGTTTTTTGGATATAAACAAAGACATGTGGTCGTTTTGTTTTGGATTTAAACGTGAAGTCATTATTCACAGATATATGAAAAATTATTATAAGGTGGGAATTTATAAACACAAGTTGCAAAATATATTTCTATTAAGTAAATTTTAAAGCCAAAAGATCTTAGGAAAACACGAGGATCTTCCCCAAAATATTGTGCTAACCGATAACTGAACATAATAATAACACTTACGACATCATATTGTACTCAGCTAAAAGTTAAGTTAAAAATATTTGTTTAACTAACTTCATGTTCTGTTTATATATAAGTAGTTGACACTTTTAAAAATACACGAATTTGTAACACTAAGTACAATATATATATATATATATATATATATATATATATATATATATATCTGTAATGGTGTGCTAAAGAAAACAATTTTCGAAAAAGAAAATGTAAAATAATAGTAGTAATGAATAATGATAAATTAGAATGTAATATTATTACAATCAATAGGGTTTTATATATAGAATCCAAGCTCGATTAATAAGAAAAGTAATAAAGATTTAAATATTGAATGAATATGACCTTTCATGTGTTGTGTAGTTGCATTTTGTCACAACTACCTCTAACAGAAAAATAAACATTCTCTCGTCTATTTTTTTTTTTTGGACACAAATCAACTATCTCGTCTATGTATATATATACAATTAATATAAATAAGTATACTTGCCAAATTGAGATGAATGTATATGTAATGCAAGCGACCATGGAAAAATCTATGTTTTTTTTTTGTGAATTGTTAAATTCGTATGTTTACACAACCAATTGTTGTTATTTGTAAATTTATTAAGATTTAATTAATGAATAATGTATAGAGGATTTTGTTATAGATTACTTTGGTTTTTCGTAAGTGACAAATATTGAACTATATTTATACTATACTCTTCAATAGTTTTCTTTAATTCCAAAACCAAATATAATAACAATGACATATAACTTATGTGGTATATTCTTCTTTGAGGTGCAATGAATAATTGTATATTGTCATTAGCTCTTTGGTAGTATTCAGCTTAAAATATATTAATCGTTGATCTCCAAAACTTAAACCCCACATTTTGGGATCAGTCCAAATTTAAAGCATTAAACTAATAAATTTAGCAACTTTGAAATGGTCACATGTAATACCGTTCATTGAAATCAAAACATAACAATCATCATAAATGGTGCCCACCAAATAAAACTATACTCTCATTTTATAAAATAAAACATATCATATGGGTTTTAGATACATACATTGAACTATATACCTTTTTCTTTCTTCAATGATTAAAACAGTTTTTTTTTAAGTGCTAACTTATTATTTATTTATTTTTTTTAAAAAAAATTCTCAGCAGCCATTGGTCCTATTTGAAAATTAATATGGTTGTTACTAGTTATTGGTTAGTGTTGCATGAGGACCCATTATTTTGAATTTGCCAAATCAAAGGATTAGCTATATATAGAATTCATTATTATATACTGGATTTTCTGCAAAATAGCAATTTAAAGTCTAAACTACCATTATATGATAACTCGTCACTACTATCGTCAAAACTGTAAAATTATGATAAATCATATACCAAAACTAAAATTAAAATTCCTCAATTTCATCCTCTTTGTTCTTCTCAATTTTGGATCTCTAATCTCGGTTATGTTTTTCTCACTATTGGAGCAAAATTATTTAAATGAATGTGGGTAAGTTGCTAGCAAATAAAATTTTGAACTTTCTTAAAATCTTTAACATTTTTTTTTTGTTTTACTTTCATGTTATTTTGAAATTTTTACTGTATATGGCTTTTAAATTTTATTTTAATCACAGCCATATATAAAAGAGAAATCACAACAAAATGTACCCATAATAAATTTTCTTATAAAATGAAAATCTATACAATGTTTTGACCTTTGAGACCCAATTTATATGGGCCCATATTTAAATTGTTTTAATTAAGAAGCCCATATCTGTGAGTTAATATGTTTGAACTTTGGAACCAGACACGCCGTTATAAATATCCTCGTCTGTCATTTTCTCTGTCTCTCGTTCTCTTCGCTTCTGTTCCTCGAAATCATCAAAAGCACTAATTCTGTATATAAACCCTAGTCCGGGTAAGTATGAACATCAATAACAATCTCAGAGTTTTATATTGCCTCTAAATTTAGTCGCGCAAAAGATTCCAATCTTGTAGTCTTGTCCTTTCGCATTTCGAATCTCTTGAGAAAAAACACTGACTCAATTCGATTTGCATTGCATGTGTGTTGTTTCTTGACAGAGTCAATTTCGAAACCATGGATCTACAACAGTCCGAAACAGATGATAAACAGCCCGAACAACTAGTTATTTACGTCTGCGGAGGTAAAGCTCAGAAAATTTCATTTAACTCTGACTTTTTGGTTTATGAACCCTAATCTTTTAAGCAATTTCATAATTGGCTTTAGCTAGGAAGCAACAAAAATCAATCAGATTGTTCTGATCTATCTGACTTGAGGTCTTTTTGATTAGGAGCTTTGCTTTACTTTTAAATCAAGATGTTCCTAATTAAGCAGCGTCAGACATTAACATGCAAAACCCAAAACTAAATCATACGAAGATTTATCATATTTTTTTGTAAGTAATAGGTTGTGTTCTTTTTTTCTATGGTTTGCTTAACTTGTTTGTCTAAATTATGTTTGTTTTGAAGATTGTGGACAAGAGAACATTTTGAAGCGTGGAGATGTGTTCCAATGCAGAGATTGTGGGTTCCGTATTCTCTACAAAAAGCGTATTCTCGACAAGAAGGAAACCCGTATAGGTGGTGTAAATTACTAATCCTTAATCCTCCCTTTGTTTGTAGCTTTCTTTGACTGCTCTTTTTGTCTTGTTCTCATTTGTGTGTTGGATTGCTGATCTGTTGGTTTTCTTGTCATTTTGTCATTTTCTTTTCTTGCAGTTTAATACCCAGCTGTCTGAGTGCCACAACTCCTGAAGATTGTTCAAAATAGACTTATTGCCAGTTGTTTGTAATATGTATTGACTTGGCCTGTTTTGGTTTGGTTTGGTTTGATCACTATGAGTGTGACTGTAATCTCTTTGCGTTTTGGTATCCTGGAAAACTATAACTTCTCAACAAAGTTTTCTGATTGGTGTTGTAATCCTTGACTGGCTATATCTTCTCTAAGTTGTGTTCTCATTTGCCACTTAGACAAGGCAATTCATAGAGAGCGAGAGAGAGCGCAAGAGAGAGAGTAGAGCAGAGAGGCTAAAAAAGACGACTACCTCTATCGCTGCTATCTCTCTCGAAGATCTCTCTCTCTCTCTCTCTCTCTCTCTCTCTCTCTCTCTCTCTCTCTCTCTTCTCTCTCTCTTTTTGCTGCTTTAATTTGTTCTGTTCTTTGCTTCCAATGGGTCAGCTTCTAAGTAGTGTCTATACGACGCAGAGTTAAAAGAGTGAGAGGAAGAGAAACCACCAAAAGGGTTCTTGCAAAATGCCTTGTAGGAATAGCTATTAGAAGAATGAATTAGTGCTTTAGTATCCTTAGTGGTAAGAGCTATGGCTGCAAGTACAAGTGTTGAATACCATAATAACCCGAGCAAATGCTATTACAAAAACGCCTATTTCAATGAAAGTACAAGCTGACTAGATAATAGTGCTAATGATGATGATGATTTATGGATATCTAGATTTTGACATCAAAAAGAAGGGGGGAATCTTTCTCAAATTAAGTGATTTGTTATTATTTGTTCTTTGTCAATAACTTGCCTACTTCACAAAGTTGACAATTCCGGATTTAGAACTGATTAGAGATGGTAATAAAAACTTCATTCATTAACATGTCAAAAGATACTATCCCTGCAAAAGTTTTGTATTTTCTTTACATTACGAAAGCTATATATAGCGGATCAAATGCCATTAGAACACCAAATACTTGGAAAAAATATATACATTTCAACGATACTACAAAGCAACACCTAATCATGATGATTGATGAATGATGATGATATATATGATATGTGGTTAGGTATCTAGAGTTTGACATCGAAAAGAAGGGAAGGAAACAGAGCCAAAGTCAACTTGCCGGATACCATAATCAGTAAGATTCGTTGAGAAAATCGGCAAGTCATCCTTGGCTCAATCTCATTCTCTATTTTTCCATGCAAGACTCTATGATACAATTAATTAGTGACTCATCATCATCATCATTTTTTTTTTCTACCTCTCATATTCTCTAGTGATTTGTTATGGCAAAACCCTAACTCATGATGAAGGTATTTATAGGCATGTGTCGTGAGAAATGTGTAAATTAATTTAGCTGAAATTTAAAGTTTTTGCATAAACTTAATTATATGCAATTATCTATAGAATAGTCTTCTTATCCATGCAATTTTTCTTTAGTGCATGCAGCAAAGAATAAAAAATAGTAATGGAATTTTGACCACTATCCTATATTGAAGAATATAATCACTTTAGAAGATTGGCTGACCTTATATTACCATTTTCGAATTCCAATTTTGTGTGAGTAAATAATATTCGAACCTCACTACACCAAAGGCATCGTATATTAGACTATATAGTCTGCGACATAAATTAATCCCCCCACCTGTCGACGTACTAGATCTTTTTTTGGTATTAGACCATATTTTCTTGTGGCTTGATCGACAAAATGAAGTATCGATTGTCTAACAAAAACTGAAAGATTCTTTCTAATATTCATGTGTAATGGCCAATTTACGTAGAGGTAGCAACTAAATAATTTGTAATTAGTATAGGTTTAATATTATGAAACCTTTTTGACAAAAAAAAAATTATCATGAAACTTTTTAACCAAAAACAACTCAATCTTTTTTGATGCTAATTAGTAAACGAATTTAAGCAATAAAGTTAATTTTTATTCTATCTATTGATAGATCACATCATGTGATATTGAAATGTCCTATTCAATTGGACAAATAGATACCATTTAGGTCAGACCAAAAATAAGATAAGATTGCTCGGAACATTTTTTTGCTGTCAAGATTCTTTAGAACATAAAAATCTAATTTTTGTTCAACTGTTTAGACACACATTTACCTCAAATGTTTTATCATTTTTTCTACTATCATACATATATGAAATTTTGCATTTGTACTAAATTGAATATCCTTGTATAGATTTCAAACATTGGTACTAAATGTTTAAGTTTACAATCATGGATATTAAACCATTTGATTTGGTTTCATGGTAAAAAAAACATAGAAGCAAAAACAATTGGTCCGAGTGAAACTAATGGTGTCAGATTGAAGTGATTAAGCAATTTTGAAGTTCCTCCATATTGAGCTACTGAAGGCGAAGAAAGACAATGACGATTGTAAAGACTGCAATAACGAAACCCCTAGTAGTGAGAAAGCCTTTCACTATCGCCCCGAAGAAACTAAGTTGTCGAGGGAATCTCAAATCTCAATACCTCAGTTACAGACTCCTCTACGACATGTGCAAGCGGCTCTTCGACTCACTCTCAACCCATATATAAGAAATCTTGATCATTCAAAAAACTAATACCGAAAACCCAAAACTTCTTTTAAACTAATTATTCTGTGACACTTAATTAAAAACAAAGATGATTTTGTAGGCATTTTTTGTTGTGAGACGATCGATCGATAGTTTTTTTTTTTTTTTTACTATGAGTCCAATCATAAGAAAAGTACGACAGGTGGGTTTTGATGTCCCAGACATATACGATATGCCTTTGAAGACTTGCAGTAGTGAGGTACGAATATTAATTATTCACACAAAATTGGAATTCGAATATGATAGTATAAGGTCAGCCAATCTTCTAAAGTAATGATATTCTTCAATATACGATTGTGGTCAAAATTCCATTATCGTTTTCATTTTGTTTTTTTTGTCAACATGCTCTAAAACCCTGCATGGATAAGACTATTCAATAAATAATTGCATATAAGTTAATGCAAAAACTTTACATTTCAACTAAATTAATTCACACATTTCTACACTTAAGTCTATAAATACCTTCATCATGAGTTAGGGTTTTGCCATAACAATATCACAAGAAAATATGAGAGGTGCAAAAAAAAACAAGATGATAATGAGAGTCACTAATTGTATCATAGAGTCTTGCATGGAAAAATTAAAGAATGAGATTGAGCCAAGGATGACTTGCCGATGTTATCAACAAATCTTAACTGATTTTGGTGTCCGGCAAGTTGACCTTGGCTCTGTTTCCTTCTTTTCTTTTCAATGTCAAACTCTAGATATCTCTATCCGTTATATCATATCATCATCATGATTAGGTATTGTACGTAGTATCATTGAAATATATTTTTTCTATTTTTCTTTTGCAAGTAATTGGTGAATGCTAATGCTAATAGATTTAATCATCTATTTGTTTGATTTTTGTTATAATGATTGATTTTATAATTTTTATCATTCCTAGGCAGACAAATTTTATTGAGAAATAGAAAAAAATAAAAATAAACATCTCCATTAGACCATTTTAAAAGTCAATTATTTCTCAAAAAAACATTTTGAAATGCCAAAACAAAGAAAAGACAAAAAAAAAAAAAGTGAAAACATTAGATGTCTTTGTTTTTATACCGCATTCATTCAACACCAAAAATCTGTCTGAGCTTAAGGACTTGTTGATAAACTTTCTCAGATTCAGGCAATGTAGCAGCAACACTGTTTCGTTCAACACATCTCTTTCCCCAAGCCACGATCTTCGGACACTCAGCTTCGACAGAGAAGTCACCACATTTCTCGAGTGCGTAGAACCAACTGTAAAACGGGACAAGAGTTATGTCTACATAACCAAGTGTCTCTCCTCCAAAGTAAGATTTGTCTCCAAGCTCAGCTTCAAGAACCTTCAAGCTCTCAAGAAACTCTTTCTTGCCTTTCTCTTGTTCTTCCCCTTTCTTGTTTCCCCAAATCTTTCTTCCTCCTTCAAATGATATCTGCATTTTGGTGAATTTGATCAAAACCAAGTAGACATATAAAGCAAACCGAAACAGAAACAGATGAATTATAAACACTAATTACCGTTTTATCAGCGTAATCAGCCCAGAACCTTGCAGTGGCTCTAGATTGAGGATCAGAGGGCAAGAAAGATGCAGCATCAGTCCACGTCTCGTCGATGTACTGAACTTGGATGAGCGATTCAGAAATTGGTGTGTTGTTGTGGATAAGAACAGGGACTTTCTTGTGAACAGGGTTTGATTTCAACAACAGCTCACTCTTGTTCCACAGATCTTCCTCTTGAACCTCAAACTCAACTCCTTTCTCTCTCAACGCAACCTTCGTCCTCATAGCGTAAGGACTTGCCCAGAAGTCCAAAACAACAACTTTGCTATTTTCTTTCCCCATTGTTGGTTCTAATAGCTCCCTGACACAAAGCACTAGCCAAAACCATATATATACACACTCATGTATGAAATTAAGAAATGGATATGGTGAAGACGTGGGAAAGAGATTGGAGTAGATAAATTTAAGAATGTGCTGTCTAAGGAGATCGTGAAATCAACTCAAAGTTTAAACCTTTTGATGGATTATAGTTGACTTACATACAACGACTTAATACGAGGAAAT